CTTCTGACGGACTCGACCCTGCTGAATTAACAATGAGAAAAGCCTTGTAAAAAGATTAAAAACATATATATTTTTTTAAAAAATAGGTAACGTACTCCTTTCTCTTTCCTGACTCCAAGCATAGACAGTCTCAGCCAAGTAACTCACCTCTATAAAACTTTTCCAGAAATTTCTACCAAACAAGAAAAAAAAAATACTAGAAAACACAAGAGTAAAACCACAAAGTCAGTAGCAAAAAAAAAAAATCAAAAAGACAAAACAAAAAAGAAAGCTTTTTTCATATACACCCACACACACGTTCACAGAGGTTATTACTCCCAGATAACTTGATACCTTACAATGTTTGTTTTGGGGGATGAAAAGAATAGATAATTAAGCTAACCCTTCATGCAAAAGCTACTCATACTCCCCCCCCCATCATTAATGCTTTGTTTGATACATGATTAAAGAAGAAATACAAACAAGAAAGCACAGATAAAGTAAGCATTCAAGAGCAAACTGTACTACACTTCCCTGCAGAAGGAATACAGGTCTCTCTTTTGCAGGCTGCAAACAGCAGAAGACAAAAAAAAGTTCCAGGTATATTCCATTTAATTGACAGCATATAATTGTCAAAGTACACAGAAGCCATGCAATGTAAACACAGGTGTAATTTGCTTTATACAATAAAGCAAGTGTACAACATGACTAGAAGATTAGCAGTAAGGCAGAAAAGTAAATTTTTTTTTTTAAAAGTGCTGGGTTTTTTTAGGTTTTGTTTTCAAGGTTTTCCAAATGCTGTGCTTCTTGAAAGTTGCACTTGTTTGAAACTGTTGTACTTAAGAGAGCTCCACTATTCATCCTTACCTTTAGATAGAAACAAACTAAAATAGGACATATGCTCTACATTTAAAGTCACATTTTATTGAGAAGAATGCAAGCTTTCCCAAAATACAGTTGCTTTTTTTAACAGGATAACCAAAGACTCTGTTATGTCTAAGCTTATGTATAAATTGAACAAAATTAAGGATGATTTTTAGACCTACAATTCAATTAAACCCAAAGTAAAGTATGGTAATTTTTTGTTCACGGTCTGAAAATTTCAAATGACAAATTGCATCATTAGATGCTACACTTAAATACATAAATTGTCTTTCTATTCTGGGAAGTGAACTGCATATTATTGCCTTATTTTACAGTTTAATTACTTTTATTTCTTGCAGTTTTCTAGTCCTTCAATATTTAATCATGACCATCTGTGAAATCACATTGCTTCTAATGGGTTTGCATGAAATCAAACAGCAAAGTTTGTTTTGTGGGTTTGTTCTAACTTCTGAGCTATAACAGGCTTCAATTACTTCCTTAGGACAAAAAAAAAAAAAAACCAAACATATAGAAAAGTACATGAAAAGCAGTGAGTAAGTTCAGTTTCAATTACTTAACTTCAGCTTTCACTGACCACAACATTCCCCTACCTGGATTCTTTAAGAACTTGTCTGATTACATCTGAAACCAAGCAACTGAATTTCAATCAAATTCTCTTTTTTAAAAAAAAAAAAAAATTGATGAAAATTTTTTTTTTAAATTAAAAAAATAACCTTGATTGTCACTAACTGGTAACCACTTAAAGTATTGTGGTTTCTTTTTAAACCACTCCTAGCTTCTCCCTTAAGTTCTTGTATTTTTACTGCAATTTCCCTTATGCCATCGTTCCACTTTTACTACCCAAACCACAACAACATTCAAACACATTAGCTAGTATCAAACCAAGATGACATAGGATACAGGTATCATGGATAAACGTATCTGTACAGACCTCCCAAGGGGGGGATATCACTCCATGGTAATTAGAAGGTGCAAGTGAATACAGTAGATGAGGAGAAGGTTGTAGCAGTTCAACCATTATTGTTATTTAGCTTGCTTGATGGTAAATAAACACTCATGTAACTCAGCAGTCAAAGCACACATTGCCTCTTGCCAAGTAAGTATAGCAGAACTAAAAATTACTGTAATAAGATTTCAGAAACAACTCTTTATCTTAAAAATTACAAATTTATATAGATGTGCTGTAAGAAGTTACCACTTCCTAGGCAATTTTAAGAAGCCCTTAGCACAAGCCTACCACTTTTTATGGAAAACTAGAGTTAATGTACAATCAGGAGGGTGCAGAGAATGAGAAAGTTGGCATCTGTTAAATGAAGTTACATGAAAGTAGCTGCATCAGTTAACTGCCTTTCTTAAAGAGCAACTGATCTGTAGTCATCAAAATGGTGACACTGAAAGACATGGCAATAAAACAGGATCAAACAGCATTCACAGATATCATATTTAAACAACTTGGTGAAGGAACTTTACAAGAAAGCACGCAAGCAGCAAACTGTACTAAAACTCTGTGATTCAGCTGCCCAGCACCAGTTCAAACAGCCTAATGCTTTCAAGTTTTGCATATATTATATCAAAATATCATTCTTACAAACTAGAGTTAAAAAAACACTTGAATTTTTTACATAAGTTCAAAATAAAAAAGCAGGATTTAAAGAGAAAGATGTTTAAAACATCGTTTTTCATTTGCCATCATCATTAGCATTTTAAATTGCCTAGTCTTTGCTCTAACATGTTACCATTGCACCCCTTTGTGGAAGAACAGTGAAAAACATCTCTCATTTGTTTTAATTCTAGTATCTTAAGCTTGCATATCTCTATTATACAAAACCTGTATTCAAGCACCTCCTGCTGTTTGCCCAGTATACCAGGTTTCAAAGTGTAACCATTATATATACATTTACTTCTAGCCTGAAAAGTTGTAAGGCAGTATTTTATGATTGAGAAATAGAAAAAAAAGTCTGGAAATTTCTCACTCAAGTTTTCTCTCAGCAGAACTCACTCTTGACAAGGAGAATTTTATGCTAATGTCAATAGACTATACTATTAGTCCATGCATTGATCAGAGATTTCATCTGCCTGAGAAACACACAAATCCTCCTTAGGTAAGTAAAGCAGAAAACAACATCAGGAAAGTTAATTCTTCCCTTCAACATCCCTTTCCTAGCCTTCAGAAACCAAACAGATACATAGACAGCATGTGCAAAACAGTTCTGTGGCCTCCCAGATCCTGTATCAGCTAACTCAAAGTAAAGAGAAACAACCATTGAAATCATACTCTCAGGTTCACAACGATCCTGTTGGCAAAAGAAGTTGAGAGAAGCAGGAGAAAAACAGTGTCTTACTAAAATATATCTTTCAGAATGTCTTCTCCAGAAGAAAAAAAAAAAAGAATTTGGCCAAAAAAAGGACTTCTCAAAAAAGTGACATGTACAGCAGAAAGGGTCTTCATTGACCACTTAAGCAGTGACTGGAGTTTGAACCAGACAAAAGCAGCATTTACTGGTTGAATGCAAGAGTAAAAGAAAAGTAGGTTAGGGGGTAGAAGGTGGCTGTTACTTACCTGTCCAACTCTGTCACTTTTTTTAGTGCCCCTCTCGACTCACGAATACAGCCTAAGCACTCTAATTGTGCTGTGACAGCTTCACTGACAGCAGCTGGCAAGGTTACGAACTCCTGGTGTCTGTCCTGTCTGGCTACACAGTCTTTTGTACTATCTGTCAATCAGCTCGTGAAATTCTGGAACTTCCTGCACTGCAATTTCAAGCAAGCTGACATGGATTTCAGTTTGTGTTAAAAATCTGCTTTTTTGACCATGGTGGTACAGGAATCCACAAGAAACCCTCAAAAACTCCTACAGAGGGCAGTAGGTACAGCAGATAGCCAGGGGGTAATAATCAAATCAGCCCCAATCTCAGTGCTCTTGTCTTATCACTTGGAGACTTAAAATTTTCCTAGTACTGTTAAAAATCCAAGTTTCTGAACTTTTACAAAGATGTTCCCAAGAACATCCTTTAGATAAGAATGACAAGGTTACTTCTCTGTATATACCTAGAGCACAGAGTACGATGACTTTCATCCATCAAAGGGAACTCATTCACACAGCATTTAGACCTTAACTCATGCACTAAACTTTTAAACTTTATATTAGTTACATTATTACTTTATTATTATTATTTACATTAGTTACAATTAGTTAATTATTACTTAATAATTAGCTCTATAGATAAGTACAATAGTAATATTTTGGTCAATTAAGGTTTACATGTCTAAATCCTCTTCATTCTCAGAAGTGAGCCAGGATGCTCTGGACACATCCCACTGTTTATGAAGGTGTTGTCTTTATTGCAAGCAGACTACCCCCTTGCCTCTCCATCTACCTATAAGCCATAATTAACAAACTTCTGAAATCAAGAAATGGGTCTGGAAGGACACTTTAAGGCACACTTTATCTCCTGTGTTTACTCAGATAGGAAAGGGTCAGATGAAAAGCATGAGGGAAAGGTAAGAGAAGTCTGCAAGAGCCATCTCAACTTCTGGTTCTGGAAGCCCAAGTTTCAAATTCCTATTTTCAGCCTGCTGTATTTTGTATCACCCATGTGTGCCCACTACTTGGTTGTAACAGCCCCCCTGCTTTATCTTCTCAAGATACATCATCAGTTCTACTCTCTTTTAAAACATCAGAATCTGGGATTAAAAGGTTCCACTCTCCTGGAATCCAGTCATAGCAGACTGATCCAAAAGCACATGTGCCTCTGAAGGCCCTCAATTTCTAACTGGGGAAGAATCAGAATCCTAAGAGAATAGACTGGCTTCTACTATATGCACACCCCTTTAGTTCTAAAAATAACAGCAATTTACAGCCTGTGGTGGGTTGACCTTGACCAGCAGCCAAGCACCCATATGGCTGCTCACTCACTTGATGCCTCCAGTGGGACCAGGACAGAGGAAAGTGTAGAAAGTGAAACAAGAAAACTCCTGTGTCAAGTTTTCTCAACAGTTTAATTAGTGAAGGAAAAAGCAAAGTGGTATTAAAAAAAAAAAAGTGTCACACAAAGACCGTGATCCACCATCTTGCACAAGCAGACTGACGTCCAGCCGGTCTCTGAGCAATAACCACCTTGGAAGAACCCCCCACCTCCTCTTTCTTCCTCTACCTCCAGTTTATATTGCTGGTGTCATGAACCGGTATTGGCACTGGTTTGTGACAGCTGGGTATGTGAAATGCTGGGGTCTGAACCCTGAGCCCCCAAATTAAGGTTGACATATGGGTGATTCCCCCAGCCCTTCATACAGAGGTGGTGAGTTTGCCTTATAGCTTCCCCCCAGGGTGCGGCCGGCCCTGCAGGGAGAGCCAGAAGGGAAATGAGCCCCAGGGGTCCCGCACTGAGTTGACAAAGGTCAGGTGTCTGCTTGGGGATAAAAGCTGGGACCACTTGCATGAAGGGAGGTGTGTCTGTCTGTGAAGTGGATGTACTTCACAGAGCTTCCTGGCTGAGGAAGGACCTCCTGACTCTCCCTGGAGCTGGCCGCAGTCAGCTCGGACCTTTGTAAACATGGGCTAGGAGGGTGAGAGCTGCCATGTGGCCAACTTTGTCTTATAAGTTTAACTTCCTGATCTGTCTGTTTCCCATTCCATCTATGGGAAACCTTGGCTCTTTATTTGTTCCACCTATTGTCAGTTGGGTGATGTTTTTGTTGGGATCGTTGGGGGTAATGTCAGTTGTATGTCAGCTAATTGACTTGTTTGTACCCCCCAGCGATCGTTCATGGCATGTCCTTTTTGCATTCAATACAGTCCACTTATTGGTTCATCTTCCTGCTGGCCGTGTCATTTCTGTTAGGCCTAGTCATTGGCAAAATAGTATGAAATCAGATAGTATAGAATATTCCTTTGGCCAATTTGGGGCATCTGTCCAGCTATGTCCCCTTCTTGCTGGGGATGAAGGGAGGCAGAATGGGGAAAGGAGAAAGCCCTGATGCTGTCCAAGCACTGTCCAGCAACAGCCAAAACCCAGGTGTGTTACCAACCCTGTTTTAGCCACAAATCCAGAGCACAGCAAGATTCAGGCTGCTAAGAAAAAAGTTAACCCCATCTCAGCCAGACCCAGGATACAGCTATGTTTTAAACAAATACAAACCCCAATACTCACAGAAACGTATTCAGGGATAGAAAGCTGGTCTTCAGGAAGAGACTTCAGCTTCTCATAGCAATCGTCTGTTAATTCCAAGTCTCGCAAGCTACGGCGGATATCTCCAGCCCTCTCCCTTAACTGGTGGTTCATTTCCTCCAGTTCCTTCTGTCTCAATAAAACAGTTTCCATTTCTTGTTTCATTAGAGCCTGGTGTTTCCTTCAAGATCGATTTGAAAACAGAAAACATTAAGTAGTGAGTAAGATAAGTGACAAACCTTCACAATACCCTGGCAAGGGAGCGATTTATGCTCATTTTGCAGATGGGAAAATATACAGAGATATCACTTAATTAGCACAAGAGTGTATACCACCATGGCTATACAATTGTACCAGACACGATATATACAAAAAGCCAGAAACTTTCATAGTCATTGACAATACAAAACTGAATCTGACAAGCGTGGAGATTGAATTTATAAATTAGTCTTAATTTACCAATTAAAAGATGAAAAACCAGAATATATTTCCACACAAAACACAAGGAATGAGTAAATCACCAAATAAAGTAATAGTACCGTCAACCTGTCTCTTACCAAGTTTTAGCACATGCATGCTCATGGCCTACTCCACATACAACCCTTCATTTTCTACCCAAGGTAACATACAAAGTTGAGGTCCCTTTAAGAAAATCCTACAAGCATCACTACACTTAAACAAGCAACTTTACTTCAAGCCTTAAAACACTATCTTTGCTATCATTACCAGTGCCTAGGTATTATATGCCAAGAGAAACTGCACATCACTTCAAGATGTTCCAAAGTATTTTATTCAAATCAAAGGTGACTAATGTACTTTTTTTGGAAGCTTTAGCTGTAACTCTTGAAAATATATTCAAATGTCATCATTCTTCAAAGTGCAATAATTCCTACATTACTTAAAAAGTAATACTAAAAATACTAGCTAGTACTACAAGGTGATGTCTGCCCCACTGGTTTCAAAAAGGTAAAAGAAAGTCCCAGGCCAGCCAAGTAGCCACACAACAACATATTCGCACACAGTGTTACAACTCTGTTAAATGAGGATGAAAAGTGAGGTAACAGGAAAACCAATGAAAAGACTGGGGAAAGGAAAGTAATTTAACTCCTTTTTGCCCATTAATAATGATGGGTACATCAGTACTTTCTCACTGAGCGTTTCTCAGATAACTCAAGTATAGCCAACGTAAAAATTTTCTACTCCAGTGCAAATAAGCACACAGAATTAAGACATTTTTGCAACAGTCAACTGCTCTTAGTCGAAAGACTTCTCTGTAACTAGCCCCAGCTCTGACTTTACATCTCCTAAATCTGTTCTAAGTTTACTACAGAATATGAGTTGGAATTAGTCACGTTCCGTAAGCTGGTGCATTGTTTACTGTCCTTGAGACTATTTATTAAATAATGCCCTTGCTTCACAGGTGTCAAAATATTCAATGGAAAAAGTAATTTGGATAAGCCCACTAGTCAGTCTATTTTCAGCTATAGGTTAACTTGAAGTATTTCAGAAAAGATGAAAAGCTTCTAGATCATCAACTGAAAGCATTTCTGATAATAAGCAATCCTATTTTTATCCCCTTACCTTTCCCAAGTCATCTAGGCTGCAGAGTTATTAAAAATTCAGTTTAAATTGACAGAAAGTCTGACCCCTCTCCCTACTCCTTTTGCTCTTTATTGGTTTCAAGAAGTTTCTCACCCCCAGTTCCTATTAAGTTTTGGATTCAGGTAACAATAAAAACAAACCCACAAATTTCAGCCAGTGAGAATTGAATTAAAATTTACTTATATGTAAACTGAATACGTAAATGCCATTTTTAGAAAGAAAATACCAATATAACCTGCAAAAAGAAATCCCATTCCTGCAACTTGTAATGATCGTTTTCCATTAACTGTGCATTAATTCATAAGTTATTAAAAAATAATTTCTTAACTTTACTTCCATCATACCTAGCTTCATCTTGTTGTAATGCCAGCTGACTATCCAGCCGTAAAGACAACAGCTGCTTCTGATGGGTTGCATCATTAAGCTTCTCTTCCAGCTCTTCAATCTAAACACAAAGAATGTATAGATAAAATGAGGAAATTACCTTGGTAATTAAAAAAAAAAAATTACAAAAATAACAACTTGAAAGAAAAACAGAGAGCTCAAAGCCCTGGGAAGTGCAATAATGACTAATAAGACCTCTAAATATGCTAATGCTTCCTAAGATATTATATGGATTTTGCCCTAATGAACTAAAAAAAGACTTAGCTCTAAAATTAATCTTTCTCAAGCAAAGAGCTGTTTGTTCAGCTAATTTCAAACTGGGCTAAAACTCAGAGCAGCACACCAGCGAAAGCTACATTTAGTATATACACTTAAGTTGTAAACGTGGGCAGCACACAAACCTGACAAAGTCTCCCCTCGTTTCATGCATCTTAGTGGAAACCACACACAACAAAATCGCCTACTATTAGCATGCTGGTATTTTCTAGCCACAGCTTCTTTAATAAACTTTTCAACAGATTCAGATTACTTTTTCCAGTATTCCACAAATTCAGGTTAAAATCCCTATCAAGCTCCTTACATCAGTGACAATATTGCTCTCCCTTTCTGAAAGGAAGCAGGTCTTTTTCCTTTGGTTTTAGAAAAAGGAAAAACTAACTAAATCCCATCTGCGTCATTTGCAAGTATTATGGTTTGGCCATGTCAGCTAAGTTTTCCATATCTTTGTTTCCTCCTTTTCTCATTAATAAAACAAACCAAACATACCAAAAAAAAAAAAAAAAAAAACCAAACAAAAAAACCAACCCCAAACCAATTAAGCAAGCTTCCAGCATGCAGCTTACAGAAATTCTTTCCAGAAGTTTCTACCATACTATAAAAGCTCCAAAAACATGATAGAAAAAAAGGTATTCTACAGTGAAAGGAACAACATTCTTACCTTGGTCAAATATTCTACTTTCAAGTTGCTAATCAACAAGTTTTTTTGGGATAATTCTATTTTAAGCCGCTGAAGATTATGGAGCAACTCTTTCCGTTCAATCATCTCCTTAGTGATTTTAACAGTCCCTTCTCTCTCTTCAGAGGAAGAAACCTCATCGGTTGGGATTGTGGTTTCTAAGCTAAGATCTTCTGACTCCAAGGAGCTAGAAATGTTTACTTTCCTGATTTCCTTCAAGCTTTTATGTGACATTTTCCTCCACTAGTTGCAAAGCTTTATGCAGTAATACTTCGAGATGAGCACCTTGAAGAATCAACTGCAAGAATCAAAACAACAAAGTGAAAAGTATAATGAAAAATTAACCAGTTAAGACCACTAGCAATATCTCTCAGCAATACATGAATGTATTTTTTGCTCACCCAAAAAAAAAAACATTTTAAGAAGCTCTGAAGATGGCAGTTGCCTGAGGACTCTCTTCTTAAATAATTATTAACAATGGGTTTGACTGCAACAGGCTAAATACTTGTTTAAATCAAGTTTACTACTAATATGTTGCAGCTAAATCAAGATGTGCACCTGCCATTCACACTGTCAGAAGAGCACACAGCAAGAACTCCCAAGACCCGTGAGGAATAGTGTCAAAGAACACTGATATGTAAGGGGTATAACAAGACTTGCTGGAGAAAACGGTAAAGGAAGCGGCTCCACAATCCTTACGTGACTAATTTGACTTAACAGTCACACATGCTTTTACAGCGACTTGGTAGAGACCAGAGCTTTTATCTCGGAGATGCACACACGAATGCTCGCTGTTCAAAGCCCTAAAATGGCATCATAGAATCGTTTAGCTTGGAAAAGACCTTCAAGGTCATCGAGTCCAAACACCAACATAGCACAGCCAAGACCACCACTAAACCACGTCCCTAAGCGCCACGTCTATTCATCTTTGAAATGCCCCCAGGGACGGCGCTTCAACCGCTTCCCCGGGCAGCCCGTTCCAGTGTCGGGCAGCCCGTTCCAGTGCCCGGCAGCCCTTCCGGCGTTTCCCACCGAAACCTCCCCTGGCGGGACCTGAGGCCGTCTCCTCTGGCCCTATCGCTCCTGACTCGTGAGGAGACGAGCGAGGCGCTGCCCGCGGAGCCGAGGCCAGCAGGCGCGTTCCTGGCGGCGTGGGCAGCTCGGGGGAGAAGACGGTGCCGC